ATTTTTTCTCCTGCTTAGCTGGTTGCTAGGACGACGGCCCGAATACACCGACCCTAAAGTGGTGGCACAGGGGGAAGGCCGAGAATGTCAGTCAATACTTTTTTCTGTAACAATCTGATGATGATGATGTCACCTACTAGATTTTCTTGCTGCTAAAACGATTGTTTCTGTTTCAGTAACGAGGGTTCGATCTCAAGGCTTCGTCACTGTCTCCTTTCACATAATGACCAAAGACATGAAGAAGATGGGCTACGACACAGGACCGCCGAACCTGGCAAACGTCCAGTCCGCCACCTCTGGTTGGTCAACAGAGTGATGACTATGGAACGGAGGCCTTGGTAAATGCCTCAGACTGCTTTCATTGCATTCTTCACCCCTTTCTACGCAGCAGGAGGCTGCGGCTGCATAGCAACGCCTGTTACCATGGTGGGCCTTAAAATACAAGAAGAAAGGTTATAAATGTCAAGGCAAAATACAGGAAGTTCGGGTTTGCAGACTTTCTACATGTCAGAGTTGCCAACTTTGCATGTGTGAGCAGCGACATTCACTCTCAGTCCAGACCCTGCAGTGCAGCAGCTAGAAATGACTGTTCTCGTTTCAAATTTATTCTGTATTGAATAGTTGCACCTTTTTATTGCATTTATCAATAAATCTTAAAACATGGTGGTGATGCTCATTTCAGATGATTTTAAGACTCATTCTTATTAACTCTAAACATCAAAATCAACAACAAAAGATACAGAGATGAAGTGAAATACATTTTATTTTTGAACCAATGCAACTACAGTTGTCCTCATCCAACAGGGTGCGACCAGCTGCTTTTGCTTGTTTAGAGGCCGTTAAAATACAAAGTCTTTTTTTTCCCTACAAAAACCCATTACACAGAATAATAAGGTATACAGAAGAACAGTATGTTACAATAGTACAAATGATAAATTATATTGTACAGTTATAATGCCAACGGGTAGAGCACAAATAAAAACAAACAAAAAAACAAGCAGTCTGTCTCCAGTACTAAGAAAAGGGCAACTAGTCAGAATAAAAAGGGTCAGTTTATGCATATAAAGCCCAGACAGCCAAGTCAGTTAGTCCTCTGGAAAAAAAAAAAAGTTGATTTAGTACAAAACAGAGGCGCTCGCAGTACAAGATAGGTTTTCACAGTAAGGAGGAAATCTGCTGCCAGAGAATAAAAAAGGTGACCAACTATATGCTTTACCTTGTTTATTTAATAAGGAAAAGCCTTTCCCTCCATGTTTTCACTACGTTTTGATTTTCTACAATTCTGAGAATGCAGGAACTGGTTATTAGTATTTCCTAAAGACTATATTAGTTACCTTTTCATTTCTTACATAATGTTTTATATAGAGATTAAACGTTTTGCTGGTTTGGAAGTACGTTTTACATCCATTAATTGGAGCATAAAAAAACTCTTAACTGCCATTTCCCGTATCATAAACACTTGAAGCCGCTTCTCCTTTTTGCCTGAGAGAAATGGGATGTCTGCATTCAGTGGAAACATCCTAGGTTCTGCGGTGAAGCCAACGTAGCACATCACACCACAAAGAGTCGACCAAACAAACTGAAGGGGAACAGATAAGGAAGCATGCAGACATAGATTAAGGAAGCGAACACTGCTTATGACATTGAAGCATAACTAGTTGAGCTGTTTCCAGGCAGCTATAAAATTCCTAAATAAACTTTGTAAAAGTTCTGTGCTTCCACTATAATCAGCAAGTTCAATGTGGGGTTGTCAATGTGTTTAAAATGTAAATCTTTTCATTTAAACTGAATACACCATTTTAAAGAAATATCTTCTTTCATAGTTTCAATGTTGCTCTCACTCAGACTACTTTTACGCTTTTCCTGTATTTGTTGCCCCGGACTATTTCTTAAACCAGAACGGTAAAAAAGTGATTGGTGGAGCCAATAAGTAGGTATGGTTTGATTCTTTAGCAAGACGTTAAAAAAACTCTTACTCTTTTGAATATTACAACTATACAAGAAACAGGATCAGGATCAGTAGTGAAAAAAATACTCAACAGTAGTACTTGTGTTAAGTATTGATACTCATAATCAAATCTTACTTAAATACAAGTAAAACTTAGTCAATGATCTACTAAAGTTAAAATATTGAGACACTCACGTTTGAAAATACTTATAAATATTCAAAAGTACATGCCTTTCAAAGTATTAAGTATTCAAAAATACAAATTAAATGTTATATCAGTATTTTTCTAAAAAAAAAAAAAAGAAAACCCACCCTCTCCACATTAAAGAAAGAAAGTACATGCACAACCCTGTACCCGCTCCCAATAGGGAACATCTATTAAATGTGTGCGAGAGCATGCAGGAGTCATTTCTCCTTGTTCACCCTCTATTTAAAAGTTGCTGTTTGCATTACTTATACAAGCTTATTCTCCAAAAGAAGAGTTGCAATTTTTCCCCTATGTCATACTCACCACCGGCAAGTGAAATTGGGGACGAGCACGTAGGATGTCCTTACATAAACATATCACCAGATTGATTGACAATTAGGAGGACCACTTATTTTGAGGATCCACCCAGAAAAAGAACATCCTCCATTATACCTTTAAGAAACCACCTGATGTACAGAGATGTAGAACCACTGCTATAAATACTTGTATAAAACTTCAGCATAAAAATGGCACAAAAATAATTTCTTATTCAAAACAAACCAACAAGGAAAACACAAAAGTCTTGATTCTCCTCACACAGATCTCTAAAACAGTGATTTAGTCCTAAGTGCTGCTATCTTCCACGTTAAAATTGCATTTTAATTAATAAAAACAGCAACAGCAGATTACAAATCTAAACTGAGCCAAAAGGAACAAGTAACTAGCAGCTTCCTGGAAATGGAGTAAATGTCAAAAGTACCCCCCCCCCCCCCCCCCCCCCCCCCCCAAAAAAAAAAAAAAAAACTGAAATTATGTGAAGATACTCAATAAAAGTACAGTAATCAAGTAAATGTAATTTGTTACTTTCCACCACTGATCAGGATGATAAGAAATATTTTCAATAGGGCACGCAGCCATAGGTGATTGAAATAATTGTTTCTTCTCTTTTTGAAAAGTATTCACTGTCACTTTTAGTTATTAAACTTTATGAAAAATTGGTGCCTCTGTTTGTCAATAACGGTGTCAATGGATCCAGTGAGATTGACTTACAGTCTTCAGATCACAAAACCATTTAAAGGCAAATATAAGATGTCATGCAATTGTATTAAATTATGGGATTTAACATTTCATAAAATATTTGGTCTGTCAATTATTACTCTGTAAATACTTGTCCAATTTGGTGATTATATTAGGAGAATAAATGAAAGATAATTAAATTAACGGCAAAGTCAAGCAATACATCCTGCACGTATGGAATGAATTAAAATTGTCTTCAAATTATTTTAAAAAAATATAAGGGAAATAATTGAACTCCAAGTTCAAAATATGTCATCTCCTAGTGTAACTTAACTAAAACTACTATCCAAAATGTATATGATTAAAGTAAGCAATTAAAAGGCAGACAAAAATAAAATTGCTGAAAAATCAATGAGTCTATGAAAGACAAGTTTATTTGTATAGCACAATTCAGTTAGAAAACAATTTAAAATGGTGTAAATTAACATAAAAAAGAAAACTATAAAAAGAGTACATTGCAGTAGGATCATAAATTCAGCTAAAGAAAAAAAGGGCTAAAAACTAATGTTTCTCTTATCCAGTCCTTAATTCAATCATTGCTTTTATGTCCCTCTTTTCTTAACATAAAATCAACATTTTTCCTTAAGTAAGAAGCAAGCTATACTGTGGAAGGGCCTCCTCAGCCCTGTGTGCACTGCTATTCAATTCAATTCAAAAACTTCTTAATTAATCCAAAAAAGGGGTATTGACACTCTGCTCTCAATACTCCACCACTTTCTGAGGATAAAATGCTCGCAAAAATACACACTAGTAGCAAAAGGAAAATTCTTGCTTGAAAAGCATCAGTGGGGATGAGTACAGGGGATATTATACAATATGTTGAGCTATCAGCAAGTATTTTCTTCAATGGGCTGCATATAACTTAGAAAAAAAAAAAAACACCACAAGATCAACAAGAGTCAGTCCTTCATACCAAACCAATTAACTGAGTTTATCTGGTATGGATTATCATTATTGTGTTTTTACTGATTGTTCATGTGAAGTAAATAGTCATTTAATATACTGTAATATTAGCCAACAGACGGGAATTTATTTCATAACAGACTATTCAGACAAAAGTATTGCTATAAAAGAGCTTTTTTTATTATGTAATACTATAGATATCTTTTATTAATCAGTATTTTGGTATCGTTTCATAAAGAATGAGGAGTTACCATCAAAATGTTTAAACTATAAAGAGAACAGATGAGTTTGTTGCTTGTTTTTTGGCTCTCATACAGCAGTTCCTCGAGAGCATTTAGTGCCACAAAGTTTTATATGTGAACTTTTGAATGTCTTTATTAGAAGTTCATACAAACAGACCTTTAGGGTCTATGCAGTAGATCATACAATATTTTAGTTGTGCAACCTTTATTATATTTTTTCTATTGTTTGGTCTATCCCCATTGCTAATGGACAGTTTTTTTTTCTGTTCTTTAAATATTAACTGCTGTAAATAAACATCAAAACAACAATTATTATTAGAAGGTTTCAGTTTAGTTTTTATCTTTTAAATCAATCTTCTCCTTCCATGTAAAACGTTTAAGACGCAGGAAGAAGCCATGTTTCTGTTTACTTTGAATTCTGCATATTTTAGAAGCTTTATAAAGAAACATGTTGGAGCTGAATACTTGATAATTAGCTGCAGTATTAATTAATTTATGTAGTCTTGATACCAGTCAGTACAAGGGTTACTTGCATTTAAAAAGGATTTAAAATATGGTTCAAGTAAATTTTAGCATGCTATAGTTGGTTTTAATTAAAAATATAGTTACCAACAATGTAATGCATTACAATGCAATGTAATGTAAATGAGTGGCTAATAACTTTGTTCATCATCAATCTAAGAGGATTTGAGTCTTTAATAACTAAACTGCAGCTTTAAGGTCTTATGAAACTTATAAATGTCTTCCATTGAATCCTCCTGTGCGCTCTGTTCTACAACCTGACGTGCGCGTTGCCTTAAACCTTCAAAGAATCTGTTAACTTCTTGTATTTCAAACTGAAGTCTCTTTAAGACAGCTTGGTCATGTTGAGCAGATTTCAGCATCTGCTCGTACCTCTGCTCAACTTCTTTGACCTTTTTCTTCAGTTCCTTCTCATATAACACTTTAAGCTCTGATTCTTTCTTTTCCAGCATCTCCACCACCTGCAGGTAGGTGTAGTTGGAGTAATGCTTCCCTTCATTCTCAGCCACCATCTTATCCACCTTCTCCAGCAGCTCCAGAACTTGACTCCGATCATCAGCTCTATGGTTGTTCAACACTGAATGTCTGTTGTTGACTTTTCTAAGAATCTTCTGCAGCTCTGGTCCAGCTTCCTGTAGCTGTGTCTCCATATCTACTTTGGTTTCATCCTCTTGTGTAAACAGTATCATGGTGTATTTCCAAGCATCTTCCCCAAAGATCTCCTCCACCTGCCTTACAGCATCTTGCTCCTCATTGGTGAACGGCCCCACCTTTATGACCAGGAGGATGGCATGAGGCCCTGGGGCCGACATGTTGATGCATTTGGAGATCTCTCTTTTGATGGTGTGTTTTGACAATGAAGTGTCAAAGAGGCCAGGAGTGTCCACGATGGTCACATTTCTGTCAAACAGCTCTCCACTGGCCTTACAGCATTGCCTCGTTACTGTAAAAAAAAAAAAAAACAGATTTTCAGTGTCAGTGTGGCACAAGACTGAGCACACAGTAAATTCCACAGAGTTAAATATGCAGTGTCAAATCACTTTGACTCTTTTAGACTTTGTATAACAACAACTGGAGTAATATATAAATAATTCAAAGTTAATCTAACACTAATTCAGTGCACTCAGATAGATGTTAAAGATAACTCTTAAAGTGTCACTTTAACACTGCAAATTTTACTGTGCAGAAGCACCAAAGAAGCATTGTCAGGGATGTAGTTGTTTTAAAATGTTAGAGAAATCATACATACATATACAAACTAAGGCTGGGCGATAATTCAATAACGATATATATCGATTGATAGACGTGTGGCGCAATAGAAAAAAAGAGAGTCGATAAAAGTTCGATAAAGAAAAACGCAGTTTTCCTTCCTTCTCATTGTAGCCTATCATGTAGGTTTATGCTAGTCACTACTTCCTCCCAACCAATCACAATCGCGGACCCAGGCACGCCGTCACAAAGCGCCGCCCTCTCAAACCACAACACAGAGCACATGAAGATATCGCAGCAAGGAGAGGCAGAGGAAATTGTTCCAAAGAAGGGTTTTTGTAGTTTGCCAGTTTGGCAGTATTTCGGTCATGGCAAGTCGGGCAAAAAAACAAACCACAGTCATCTGTAAAATGTGTAGGGAACCAGTGAAAACGAAGTCTGATAACACAACCAACTTTTTTTTTATCATCTCAGCCGCTCACACCCGCAGGAGTACGAGCTGTGTAGGGCCCGATGCGGCTCTCCTCCGAGGAATCTTCGGAAAATATATATATATTTTCAGTTCTGGGCAGTTTCCCACGTAGTTCTAACAATTGAGAGAAAAATGCTGAGGGGCCAGAAACTTCAAAGTAATAACTCAGGTTAAAGCAGGAATGCGGGTGGCGGCCGGTGGGTCCATTTATTTATTTGTTATATTTATTTTGGTCACTTTTCTGGTCACTTTAGTTTATTCTTTGTCAGTATTTAATAACAACTCAGGTCTCTTAAGTTATTTTTCTTTAAAACAATTCTGTTATGGTTAAAAAAGTTGGTTAAATAAAGATTTAATTGGAAGTCTGTGTTTGTGTTCTTTTTAAAATTAAATCATTTAGCAATATCATAAAATGTCCAGGCAGAGCCGCACATAAAATATGGTTTCAAATTTTTTCAATAATTATCCATATCGATCAATATGCATTTTTTTATCGATAAGCTTTTTTTCTATATCGCCCAGCCCTAATACAAACATACACATTTGTGAGGTTACAGATCAGGCATGTTGCTTTTTTGTACTTATTTCGACCATAATTTAGAAATAAACCCTTACAAAAATCTGTTATTTCCTGAAAGGTTTTCCTTATTTTGTCTTTCATAATAAAAGTGTTTTTCACCTATCCTCTTTAATCAGTCTTTCTCTGTTGTAATACAGACATCATTTTATCAAATCCTACAAAAGCATAGGACTATATACATACATTCTTTTTAGATGAGAAACTGGAGTAACCATAGTATATCCATTGTATTATCCTAATATAAATATCCATGTTTTTAAATATAGTAAAAGGTATAGTGGATGAGGTTCTAGGTCCGCACAGTGGGGCAGTGGAGCGCACTGCTGCCTTCCAGCAAGAAGGTTCTGGGTTGTCCCCCCTTCCGCATGAGTTCCCTGACCAGTTCCCGGAGCTCATGGCTTGGTTCTGCTGCACTGTAGTCGACCAAAATCCCGGACGATTTTGAAATCCCCCCCGACGTTATTTTTAGGTATGGAAAGTAGGACATGTCCGTGAAAAAGACGACACCTGGTCACAGTAGTTTGGACGCTCTGACAGACTGTGTGTTTCAGTTAGCGGCACACATGGACACAGATGTCAACAATGTCGTTTTTCAGAATCTGTAGGAAGCGGCCCATCTTCTTAACTCAGTTGCTAACGACCGAGGTGAAGCTGGTTTGAAGTTGGATATTGGATATTCAAGCTCTGTGGAGTTAGCGGGATCTAGCAAACGATTGATCCAACTGAGGGACTGAATTGAGGTGGACTGGGACTGAACTGAGGGTGCAGTTAGTGATAGGGTGACCAGACCAACCAATCAGAAACCAACCTTCCTGCTGTCTTTTGAGCCTGAGTCAAACACACAGAAACCTAAAAAACAGATTTATCACAAGTACTGTTCACACAGACCCCTTCATATTTTGGTTACCTGAGGACTGACTGACTGCTGCACTGAATGCATCTCTCCCCAGGATGGTGTTTCCACTGGAGCTTTTCCCAGATCCAGTCTTTCCAACAAGAACTAGTCTAAAATCTGAAAATGGAAAAAACAATGCAAGTCAGAATCAAATATGAATATTATTAAGTTTGTGATAAATGAAAATCATAGACTTAGACTTAAACTTAATTGTCATTTTGTATGCACAGAGTGTATACAAAATTAAATTTTGGTACATACAGCTTTCCAACAGTGAATGAGGAGCAGCTTAGCAGTCAAAATTAACATTTCCTTTTATAAGGTGCAGCAGTGATCAAAATGTAAAACAGTATAGGAGAGATATGCTGCAAAAGGCATTGATGTGGAAGGTTTAGAGCACTGCAAAAAATAAATAAGGTGCAAAATGCATTAAAAACATGGAGTTGAGTTTTATTCTTCAATCTCATGTATCCCTTGCTATGAAGCCTCTATTCGCCCCTATCAGAATACACCAAGGACTGATACTATCAAAAAAATTGCAGAGTTTGGGTTTTAATTTAAAAAAAGGTTGCTCTTGTGATTAATAGTACAGTGTTGCACTGGTGTTGGTGTGAGTCGTTTCCATTTATACAACAAATAAATACATACATATATATATATATATTAGGGCTGCAACTAACGATTATTTTAAAAATCGATGAATCGGCCGATTATTTTGTCGATTAATCGATGAATCTGACAAAAAATATTTTTTTATATTTTATACTCTTTATTCCAAAATAAACATTTTAGACAGAACAAACAAGCGCACAAGTACAGGTTGCTCATTAACTGTACTGGTGCAATATGAAAAATAAATGTTTGTGTTAAAACTACGCAAACTTACATGAGAAATGTAGCTGTACATCCACAAAATATAGGCTACTTTGTTTCATAAAGTGCAAAAAAATACTTTTTTTTTTTTAAAGCCCCTAAGGGGTTCAAACAACAGACTAATAGAGTTCTGCCTTTTAAGACAGGAAAGTATAGAAGTTAAAGTTGCTACTTGGGAAAATACTGAACCATAGAGATAAAAATAGCCCTGTGATTCAAATTATAAATTGCATTTGGAATAAAAATGAGAGAACTAGGGGTGCTAAAAAACACATCCTCCAAAGACAGATATTTACATGGGAATGTGGCAGATAATTAATTGACATATTACTGATCTTGCTGGATTTTATTCTGCTTTACTTCCATAAATTGCAGGATCTTCTTTACTTTATCTTTGCCAGAAGATTTAAACTTTAAAAGCCTTGCCCTCATAATTTGCAAGTTAATTATTTATAAAGTAAATATAAACGCTGCTTAAGCTAATTCAAATTAAATTAAAGTAAAATAAGTAGCCAACCTTATCACTGTCTGTAACCTACTAACAAGGTAAGGAAAGCATCAGATGAGCTACCTGAGAAACTAACGTTACGTTTCCCCACTTAAAAACCAAACAAACATGGTGGTTCCGTGCCATGTTAATTTGTTTTGACAAAAGTTGCATGTTACGACTTTTTTCACTGTACAAAGCGCAGGCTATTTTAATTATTGTGATCAATTTGCGCCTTCAATCCCGGTGCATGCGCGCTTCATTTGCAGTCTGGACGCTGAGGCTCTGACTGCAGCGCTGAGAGGGACTCCTGCGGGAGCGGGGGGAGGCGCCCCACGGCAGAGTAGGAATGATACATGCTTTCACGTAAGAGTCTCCAAAAGCCGCCAGTGACACCGTAAAAAGTCGCCAGATTTGTCGCTAGTCGCTTTTTTGAAAAATAGTCGCTGGAGGGGTCTGAAAAGTCGCTGAGTTGGCAACACTGCGCCCTGCAGCGCTGGCTCGCTCTGCCGTATTTTTTCTTCTTCCCCCGCTTCAGTCAAGTGGATGTGATGACGGCGGTGGCGGATGACGCATTAATCGCGCGACACAACTAATCGATGATGAAATTCGTTGCCAACGCTTTTAAAAGTCGATTTTTATCGATTTTATCGATTCGTTGTTGCAGCCCTAATATATATATACACGTATATATATATATATATATATACATATATATATATATATATATATATATATATATATATATATATATATATATATATATATATATATATATATATATATATATATATATATATATATATAAATAAATAAATAAATAACTGGCCAAAAGAGGAGATAGAAGCTACTGACATCAAGACGAGAAAGCTCCTCACTATGCATGGAGGATTTCACCCAAAATCCAGCACTCTGAGACTGTATACCAAGTGTAGCGAGGGAGGCTGAGGGCTAGTAAGTGTCAAGACAACTGTCCAAGATGAAACAACTAAGATCCAGGAGTACATCAGGAAGATGGCCCCCAAAGACAAATGGCTTGGTGAATACCTCAGGCAGGAGAAAACCGAAAGTAAGGACAAGAAAGATGAAGGAGAGCCATCATGGAGAGACAAGCCGCTGCACGGCGTATACCACAGACAAATAGAAGAAGTGGCTGATATCAAAAAAATCCTGCCAGTGGCTGGAAAAGGCTGGACTAAAGGACAGCACAGAGGCACTAATCATGGCAGCACAAGAACAGGCACTCAGTACAAGATCAATAGAGGCCGGGGTCTACCACACCAGGCAGGACCCCCGATGCAGACTGTGCAAAGATGCCTCTGAAACAATACAGCACATAACAGCAGGGTGTAAAATGCAGGGAAGTCCCAAGGTCAAAATGGAAGACACCTCCTAAGGTAGTTGAGAATGACCAAGCTAAGATCCTATGGGACTTCAAGATCCAGACTGACAAACAGGTGATGGCTAACCAACCACACATCGTGTTGATCGACAAACAGCAGAAGAAGGCAGTAGTGATAGATGTGGCAATCCCAAGCAACAGCAACATCAAGAAGAAAGAACACGAGAAGCTTGAGAAATACCAAGGACTGAAGGAGGAGCTAGAAAAGATGTGGAAAGTAAGAGCAGCAGTGGTGCCAGTGGTAATTGGAGCACTGGGGGCTGTGACCCCCAAACTGGGAGAGTGGCTACAGCAGATTCCAGGTAAAACATCAGAGGTCTCTGTCCAGAAATGCGCAGTCCTAGGAACAGCTAAGATACTGCGCAGAACCCTCAAACTCCCAGGCCTCTGGTAGATAACCCGAGCTTGAGGATGACACATACCACCCCACGAGGGGTGAGAAAACAGTTTTTATATATATATATATATATATATATATATATATATATATATATATATATATGTATATATCCAAAGATTTTCTATGGGTTTGAGATCTGGAGACTGGCTAGGCCACTCCAGGACCTTGAAATGCTTGAAATGCTTCTTACGAAGCCACTCCTTCGTTACCCGGGCGGTGTGTTTGGGATCATTGTCATGCTGAAAGACCCAGCCACGTTTCATCTTCAATGCCCTTGCTGATGGAAGGAGGTTTTCACTCAAAATTTGACGATACATGGCCCCATTCATTCTTTCCTTCACACGGATCAGTCGTCCTGGTCCCTTAGCAGAAAAACAGCCCCAAAGCATGATGTTTCCACCCCCATGCTTCACTGTAGGTATGGTGTTCTTTGGATGCAACTCAGCATTCTCTTTCCTCCAAACACGACGAGTAGAGTTTTTACCAAAAAGTTCTATTTTGGTTTCATCTGACCATATTATATGCTCCCAGTCATTGTCTGGATCATCCAAATGCTCTCTAGCAAACTTGAGACGGGCCTTGACATGTACTGGCTTAAGCAGGGGGACACGTCTGGCACTGCAGGATTTGAGTCCCTGGCGGCGTAGTGTGTTACTGATGGTAGCCTTTGTTACTTTGGTCCCAGCTCTCTGCAGGTCATTCACTAGGTCCCCCCCGTGTGGTTCTGGGATTTTTACTCACCGTTCTTGTGATCATTTTGACCCCACGGGGTGAGATCTTGCGTGGAGCCCCAGATCGAGGAAGATTATCAGTGGTCTTGTATATTTTCCGATTTCTAATAATTGATCCCACAGTTGATTTCTTCACACCAAGCTGTTTACCTATTGCAGATTCAGACTTACCAGCCTGGTGCAGGTCTATAATTTAGTTTCGGGTGTCCTTTGACAGCTCTCTAGTTTTGGCCATGGTGGAGTTTAGAGTGTGACTGTTTGAGGTTGTGGACAGGTGTCTTTTATACTGATTACGGGTTCAAACAGGTGCCATTAATGAAGGTAACGAGTGGAGGACAGAGGAGCCTCTTACAGAAGAAGTTACAGGTCTGTGAGAGCCAGAAATCTTGCTTGTTTGTAACTGACCAAATACTTATTTTCCACAATATTTTGCTAATAAATTCTTTAAAAATCAGACAATGTGATTTTCTGGATTTTTTTTTCTCATTTTGTCTCTCATAGTTGAGGTATATCTATGATGAAAATTACCGGCCTCTCTCATCTTTTTAAGTGGTCAAAAAAGTTGGGGAGTGGCGGCCTAGTGGTTAGGGCATAGAGCTTGGAATCCAGTGGTTCTGACTTTGAGCCCACTCTCACAGACTGCCACTCTGGGTCACTGAGCAAAGACCCTTTACCACCCACACTGCTCCTGGGACGCCACACAATGGCAGCCCACTGCTCCCCAAAGTGATGGGTTAAATGCAGAAAGCTCATTTCGTAGCTCTGTACTTGTGACAGTGTAATGACAATAAAAGCAGGGTAACAAAACATGGGAACAACTATTAGCCCATTCTATGTTTTCACATTTGCCCAAAGGTTGAAGTTAATAAGGCTCTAACTTCCCTTGTGTGTCCTATTTAAATATATAGTAAAACCAGGGTTGTCCTGCTTAATTAACATATAACAAGAGTGGTTGTTTTCTCACAAAGATTATCAGGAGACCTGCATTAAACAAACAACTAAACCAGGAAGCTCACAGGAATGAGAATGAACATTTACCGACCAGACCAGGCAACAAGATAACACCATAGTTATCAGAGGGTTAAAATCAGCTAAAGGTTAGATGTTTAACAGGATATTTACCTTAAATAACTGTAAAGAGATAATCCACGACTAACCCTCCCAGCCCCATCCCTGTCCCAGTGACAGGTGAGCAACATTGTGCTTGCCTGTTATATATATATA